AGCCAGACTTAGAGGCCATGTTTGGCAGAAGTCAGTTTGCTGAAGGTTATTTTGTGCAGAACTGATGACCTACTAAATTGACTGACATGGGGGTTGGGTGGGTGGGGAGGCTATGTAAACTTTAAATTACACAGCCCTTTCAATAAGACGACTTGCAGCAATCAAATATTCTGAAGTGCCTTAATCATATAATTTTGTAAAAAAGAAAGTTAGTGAATGTTAATTTCTTATGTGAAGGAACGCTACCGGTCCCTGCAAACCCCAGGTCTCTGGGGAACCCCACAAATCCCAGAAAAATTCTAAATCATAAAATGACTTTTCATTTTTGACTTAATGAACATTCCAGTCAGCTTAATGTGGAACGAGAGGAAGGAGCTGAGAGAAGGAGGCGTTATGAAATAATTATTCGTAGCAAACTGCTCATTTCAACTTGTAGCAACCACCTAATTAACACATAGTTAATTATATAATAAAGTAAAGTTAGCTATTTGGCAGGGAATTTTTCATTCTTTGAATGGAGAGCATATTCCATACACTGTTGGGATTGCGATACACAAAGGTCCACACATGTAGGAAATGTCACCAAAAGCATGTGAAGACATCTTAGCTTTAAGATACAAGGAGATAGGTTCTTGACTCCAAGATATAAAGCAGGGCACTTTAGCTTGTTTTTAAGCCACTGGAGAATAAAGACCTTGCATTTTTTGTAGTGTCTACGTCAACATGTCTCAAAGAAGCTCACAGCAATTCAAATCGAGTGGAGTGGATGAATGTATGAGGCACTCTGCAAAGTGACAGAACCATCCAATGGCATAGTGGACAGAGCTGCATCTTACAGATCAGGAGCTCACTGATTCGAATCCTGGTTTGTGCTGATTTGGTGATCTCAGCTGGGGCTGCATGGTGGAGGTAAAAATCAGCTAGAGTTACTGTGCCTGTTCCCTCTTCATAACTCTCCATTGGTAGTGCACTCCACCCAGCATGACTGAACTCCAGCACAAAGAGACTAAGCAACAGGAACCAGAGGCACTGACCTAAGGGGAGAAAATACTTGCAAACTTTTGCACATTAAAATAAAAAAAACAAGATCTTCTTTCACAATGTCCTGGTTAAAGAAACATAGGTCACAAGTTCACAAGATCAATTTGAACGAAGAAGGCCCTTTGCTCTTGGGAATATCTTTCTATCCTTGTTAATCTGCCCAAGTGCTATTGTTGTGCAGTGATACACAAGTAAATAGCAGCAAAATCATAAGCAAGTTTACTCTCAACATTGATTGCTCAGCATCGATCACTTTCATTGGCCTGACATTTACGGGGATGTACATTTTAGAAACATCAGCCGCTCTTGTAATAAGAGGTTAGAGCAGAAGTGGAACCCGGTTGTCATAGGTACAGACTGCCTAATTGCGCAGATCTGTCAGAAATGTGCCAAACGAGGAATGATGATTGCAGAGAGGGTGCATGATGATCAAGGTCACTGAGGAATTAGCATCCGACTCAGACACCTTAACCTGGCGTGGAACAAGTTGCACGTGTAATCTCAGAAAATTAGAATTTCTTCAGCCTCTTGTTCTATATTCATACAGCCTGTCTGATCTTCATTCACTTGTTAAACGACCACTTATTAAAGTTAGCAAGGTGAGAAATCGCTCAGAATGTCTCATCCCTTCAATCTATTCAGTTCATTCACCGCACCAGAAATAAGGTGCCTTCCTTCTCCTATGCATAATAATAATAATAATTTGGTCACTCAATCCTCAACTGTTTGTGGTACAGGCCCTGCGCAATTGGCTGCCGTGTTTCGCCCACAAAATATACAGTCAATCCGCAGTGGGGGCAAGGCGGAGGGATTGAGGAAGAGAATTCCAAAGCTTCGGGGTGTAGTGGCTGAATGCGTAGCTGCCGATGGTGGAGCAAAGGATGGTAACTCAGGACTTGGAATCAGACTAGTTTACTGCTATTTAGCCACTGTTCTTATACAACTCTGAATGAAATCCACTGATGGAGCAAAACCTTCCCTTAGCTCAGATGTCACTGTGGGGATCTATATCTACATAATAGGGTGTCCATTCATTTCAATGGACAACAGCGTAGCTAATGTGGTGGTGGAAAATCATAGCACTGAGGAACAGCAGGACCACATGAGACACAATATCAAGTGTACAGATTATAATATGACATCAATCCCAGCGTGGGCTGAGAAGGCCAGTGAATTTTGTGTGAAATATGGTTACAAATAACCCTTTCTTACTGGAAGACTGAATTATGAAGATTCATTTTTAAGATGCTATAATAGTAATTTTAGAAAGCTCAATTACAAACAAATGCTTATTGAAACTATTTTGACGCATTTAGAAAATTAGACGCAGTACATTTAGCTTTGAGAGTAGAAGACTAGATTTTTTTTCTAAGGCTGATGATTTGGCTGCCTGCCAACAAATATAATTCAGCTCCGCGTTTTGAGTGAATGTAATTACACTTTAAATGCCTGGGGGAAGTGCGGAAGAAAAGCCACTCAACAGAGCTCGCTAATAAATGTAAGCATTTCTCAAAAGTTTTTCCCACTTGTACAGAACTGCTGCATTATGAATGATCTTTCTGATCGGCCTGTATTAGCAGGCCTGTATTAGCACCAACACACAGTATTAAAATCTAAAAGATTACAGAGAGAATTGCAGAAAAATAAGGCTTAATTGACAAACAGGTTCTTTTTAACTGGGGAAAACCAGCTTCCAAATGAAAAATTTCCACAATTTTATGTGATGTTAAAGCATGACAACATACACTTACAGGCTGAGGCAACAACCACTACTTGCATTTATGCCCTTCATGCAGGTTAGCACCTTGAACGCATAACAATGGCAGAGCCTGACACCGAGCCGGGGAGGGAGGAGGTGACCGTAAGCATGGTTGAAGAAGAACGTTTTCAGTCAAAAGAGGGGAAGGAGGGGACGAGAGGGAAGGATTGGGTGAGAGAGTTCCAAAGTTTTGGAGCGTAGCGGTTGAAAGCGCAGCCGCCAATGGTGAAGCCCAACGGTGGCATCTCAGGCCTGGGAGTCAGACTAGTTTACTGCTGCTGGGAACCACACCCGCGTGAAGGGCAGGATCGAGTTTGCTACTCGCCTCTCACAAGCTCCCTGGTTGGATGGCCATCTGACACCCATTGGGAAATCTCGCACATATAGATTGCATCAGAGATTCAATCAGTGCCGATGGAACATGAAGCAAGCGTGAATTTACACCTCAAGATGAGAATTATCAGCACTGAATCAGGAAGAGCGGGGTTCTGGAAATTGAACGCTGACATGCTGATAAGCAAATGCCATTGTGCGTTGGAGCCTGGGACGCTTGGTGGTCAGGACATAAGATGCTTAGATCCGACCAAACAAGTTGAGGATCTCAGGCAAGCTGTGGGTGAAAAGGGTGCAGCATCGGGAGATGAACAGAAAATGAAATGGTTTAAACCCCAAGGGTCAGATCCTGTATTCTCCTCAGTTACGAATTAAAACCATCACAGCATGTTAGTTTTTCCACACTCATTAACTCTGTCAGAAAGCAGGGCATGTTTTGGACCGGAGGAAATAATAATATAATAATAATCCGTGGCTTGTACATAACTCCTTATTACATCTTCGCGATGTGTCAAAGCGAGTCACAGAATATACTGTAAAATGGATTGACTGTATATTTTGTGGGCAGTGTTTCACAAGCCGTCGTGGATTGAGTGACCAAATTATTATTGGCTTATAAAACCAACATCAACTCTGCTGGCTCCATTGACCCATTTCATCCCACCTTCCACAATATTCACCCTATCGTCTTTCCATTACAGCATCTTAAATAAGTCCAGTGCCCTGGCTTCTACCACCCTTTCCAGGAACCATTTCCAGCTTCTGATGACCCTCTATGCCAAGAAATACTTCTCTGTGTCTGTCTTAAAATTGCCTCTCATATCCTGCTGCCTGGACACATTTGTAAGAATTTCTGTCAGATTACTTTCTCAATCGCTTGTAACACCTTGTCCATTACCTCACAGAGCTGTGTTGTTGCTACGTGCCGAGCATATTCGAGTGAGGTAAACGACTTTCACTGGAACAAAGCCATTTGTTTTTGACACTCGGGAGAGCAGTTGCATCGTGTGAATGTACATTGAGAAGTTAGAACTGATCCAGCCTCAAGTGATTGGAAATGCTTTCAACCATTAATACAAATTATTTTGGTGCACATCGCGAGCGGGTTCACAAATCACAATGCAGGGCTATTACATAAAACAATTATCTGATGCGGAATTAGCCTCGCGCTTACAAGACATAAAACTAGCTGAGAATTTATCTCGGCAAAGAAACAAACCTCAGAATAAATCAATGCTGAAATGGCAGGCTGAATCAACAACAGGGAAGTTGTTTATCAAGCCATAATTAGCAGGCTTCGGGAGCAGAAGGATGAAGGTAGTGGAGAGACGAAACATAATTAATACCATTTTGACTCGCTCTTGGCAAAGACCACACAAATCAGTAACATTTGATCACTACGTCTGGGACCGCGAGGTGATGGCTTTGATCTGCAGTGACAGGAATACAGTGGGCTGGAAAGCGATTGCTTCTCGAATCCACACATGACGTGTGACCCTAACTCCACAACTGCTTCCAAATGCTGCAGTTGTTCAAGGTAAAGGTCCACGCTGTCTACATGGTGGTCGGGGCCCCGTGCAGTTCTCTCCTGCCAACCCGTTCTCTCTCGGCTTTCAAAACCAGAACAAAGATTAATCTCTTCGATACACGTATCTGGGTTTGCCTTCAGTTTCATATCATAACAATAACATCTGGCATTATTATTAATTTCGCCCAAAATATACAGTCAATTCACTTCACAGTATATTCTGTGAAGTGCTTTGAGCCTTCTTGAAGACATGATCAGGAGCTATATCAAGTGTAAGTATTATTATTAATAATAAGGGAATTCAGCTCATTGACAACTAAAGCTGTAATTATAACTTACCATTGCTGATCTCTGGAAGATCGAACTTGGTGAAGTCCCACCACTGGAGGCGATAGGTGATATTCGCGATATTACTAGCCACAGCAGACTGTCCATCACCTATCACAGCACCTGCAATCAAAGATCATGGAAATTCAACAAATAGCCATGCGTTACCCTGTTCGTTATCTGAAGCCTTAAGCCATGGTGAGATGCCCTGTAATTAGATTAGTTTATTGTTTTTAGCAGGCAAGGAATACTATTAATTGAACATTCAATTCAATGAATCAAGTTATTAAACAATATCATCCAATTTGCTGCCACATATGTCCAGTTCCTCCCGAAAGTGGTGATCACTTGGGACAATGGCGAGAAGGTCAGCGATCACAAGTGTCAGATTTAGCCTCGTGGGTCAGGTACCCACCCTGACATTCACTGTAAGATTACGTCCTATATGCTGCTGCATCTGCACTGTGTTTGCATCACTTGTACCCCATCACTTGGTGGGGGGGGGGGCGCTTGTTCATTGTTCCGATCTGAATCAAGTTCCTATGAGGGATCGGAAGCAGCTTTCACAAAAAAGGACATTTATGGAGTCAGACCCCACCAATTAATGTCCACTATCATGGAGAATAAGAGCCAAATATCAGAGTCACAATATTTTGATGAATCGTTTAGAATCATGCAACACCCACAGATTTTAAACAGCCACATTCACGTCCACCGCATTTGGAAACTTAACTGCGGAAAAATCGGAAATCCGGGATGCAACATGTATTATTTCTGCTAATTATTCACAATTTTTTTCCCCCCCAAATCCACAACGTTGTGCGTTTGGGAACACACAAGTGTGGATGACACAACCGAGCAAGTCTAGTGAACTTATTATCTGAATCCTTTTGGCAGTCACTAAATGGAATGCTACATGTGCGGTTCACTGAACAGACTTCCTGCAGTTTTAGACTTCAATAAGATTACCAAAGGAATTTGTTGAAGTGTGTTTTTTCCAACCCATTTACCAGGGCAAACATCCTCTTTGTTCACCAGTTAAGGGTAATGGCTGTGTATTTGTAGGTGAACACGACAGCCAATTTGCACCCAGCAATGTCCCGTAAAAGGCCATAAGATGAAAGACGGATTTTATCTGGATTGTTGGCCAGGTTAGCCAACGCTCTGCTCTGACAATACAACGCTGCCCAACACTGCACTGCAGGATCAGCCTATACCATGATCTTAAAGTTCCCAACATAAACTTGAACCCATAACCTTCTGACTCAGAGGCGAGAGAACAGCAACTGAGCTAAGCTGATAAACACAGACCTTCCACTCAGTACAACTGGATGCCCATCAGATATGAAACTATTTTGGGAAGGTCTCCAAAATTGATCTCATTTATCAAAAGAATGAATGCTTAGAGCAGGGAAATTGCAAGCCTGATTGGACCGTATAAGCAGCAAAGGCTGCGTGGGTACGAAAATTACATCAGACCCATCAAAAAATTAAAAGGCTGGCACGGAGCCAAAAACCTCAAACAATGCAAGTGCCACACCAACAAAATTAAATCAGACGTCAGTAACGATTTACCAGATTAATCAGTTTTCTTTGCACAAAGCTCAAAGGCATTCACTTCCAGAAAGCAGTGATGATTTTTCCTTAATATTCACTTCTCCAAAAGAACCTTTTGGATCTTACCAGGAGTGACATTTGACTGTCACGGCTTTTCACTGCCCATCTACAGTGTGCGTAAGCAGAGCTAAAAGCACCCTTCAATGGTGTCTGTCCATTTTCAGGGTACAGCCGAACTACTTTGCAATGCCATGAGTTGCCAGTTATTTAGAATTCACCCATTGCAGTGCAGACAAACACTGCACACACTGAGTGACCTTGCACTCGCCCCAATTACAACTCAACAATTCAACTACAACTCAACTTTAATGCTTCACAGAATAGGCTTTAATTATACAATTTAATAAATATATTTTTCATAAGCATACAATTTAATAAATATAACTTTGGTTACAGCTCAACGATGTGATAAGGTGTTATACCAAATACAAGGATTATTGATATTATTATTATCCAATATCAGGCCTTTTCCATTTTATTTTGCTGAGAACCTCCCCTTAATTGTCTTTTGGTAGAGCTCGCCTCTTTGAAGAGCTCGCCCGCCACTTTGAAAACTTTCAGGCAAGGGCAGTAGGAAACATTCGGAGCCTGATTGACTTTGGCAGTGAAAAGAAAAATCCTTTCTGTTTTCAATTCCATTGTTAGCTCTGGAAGAAGCATTGCTTGAAGACAAATATTTCAAAGAGGGAATTTTCTTTCCAGTTTGAAAACAACAATCTCTTTTGAGGTATCAACTGGCTCCATGTGTGGGAGAAAGGGGAGGGTGAAAGTCAACTCAGATTTTCCTTAGTTGTGTCCAGTTCACAGTAAAACATTATAACAACACCCTTGGGCATAGATCTAGAAATAAAACAAGTTTGGGCCAATTTGCCAGCCGTAAAACTAAACTTCACTCAAAAATACAATCACCTATTTTTTAAGATCTCAAAAGAAGATGCTCTGTGGGCTTCACTGAAGTGGACTGTCTGGATAATGGATGCACTGTACAGAGATTTCAGCTCCTGTAACTATTGGGGAAAGCTATTCATATAATAGATGGACCTACATATAGTTTGGCATTTATCAGTATGATGGAGTGGACATAGCTACTGGAAATAGATGTTGCACATTCCGCTGCCTGTAGTGAAATATAAACAGATACTGTATATAGGTCAACCATTGTTTGCAAGAATAGAACATTAAATCCAGAACAGCATTCGGACTTTGAGATATGCCTTAATTAAACGTCAACATTTAAGATTACGTTCGTAAAGGTTTTTTTCCTTATTTTTGAGCAAAGTGGCTTCAATCAGTTTCCTGTAACTCGAGATGAGGAGATTTCCACTAGACATACTATTAGACAATGCTTTGAGAACTGGTATCCGGATGAATGCAGGGGAGGGCAAGAGGTTCAGGCGCTTACGATTCAAAACAGTTTTTTAATAAAAAGGGAATTTTATATAAAGGAAAAAAAATTGCAGGCCTAGGGGGTAAGGGCATGGGTGTGAGACTAGTCGGCAGCTCTTTCAAACGGCCGGCACAGGCACGATGGGCCGAATGGCCTCCTTCTGCTCTGTAAGATTCTACGATAATAGAACAGGGGTCAAAACAACACTGGGAAAGCAGCAACATTTGGGGAATTTGGGGGAAGTAAAATAAAGGTTCGGAAAAAGTCTTCCAAGATGGAACTGAAAACAGATTTTGTCTGTTGTCACGTGGAATAGAAGGAAATTATCAGCCGCAACATCCAAAGAGACCCAATAAATCATCCTGATGTGTCATTGTGGATAATCTCATTTTGCCCACAAAATAATCATCCCACTTTACAGTAAAATCCTGCACTTTGAGATGCCTTGACAACATGATTAGGCGCTATTACAAATGCAATTATTATTAATGTAATAATTCTTAATGCGAGGGGCCATAAAATACAACAATGAGTCCGGAAACCGGTGGGGATGTTTGAGAAACACAACTCAGAATATATCAGTATGTGAGTGCAATCTATTGGCTTTTGGTCCATGTGTGGACTGGCTCTCAACATCTCCTGATGCTGTTTTCTGGGTGTATAGTGAGATTCAGTTGGAGTTCTGTAGCTCAGTGGTTAGAGAACTCGGCTCACAAGCGAGACTCCTGGGTTCGATTCCCGGCAGGGCGAAACCTTGGGCAAGTTTCCTTACTCCACAAATATGATAATACTCCCTCAAGAAAAAAAACAATAATAATTTGGTCACTCAATCCACGACTGTTTGTGGGACACTGCTGTGTGCAATTGGCTGCCACATTTTGCCCACAAATACACAGTCAATTCACTTTACAGTATATTCTGTGAAGCGCTTTGAGATGTCTAGAAGATGTGAAAAGCGCTATATCAAATGCAAGGATTATTATTATTACTATTATCACTATTATTATTCCCCAAATTAACCTGCTTCATTTCCCCCATTGCTGGGTCTTGCGCCACTGGTTTCAATCCTAAGCTCCTTTTCTTTCTGGAAGAGAATCGTATGATCGGAGCTGCCACTGTTATGGTGAGACGTTAAACCTGAGGTCCTGACTTCTTGTCCTTCAGATGGATGTTAAAGATACTACAACACTATTCCAAAGGAACTGGATAGACCTGAACTTGGAGCCAGTAAATGAAAAAACACTGAATTGTGGCTCAGAAAAAGGAGAGGGACATTGGCACTGGGGAATAGTGCATTCAAGCAATTATAATGAACATTATTCACTTAGGCCATGCATAACATAATCAGCCGGGGAGTAAATCTCCCTTTACTCGCTAACATGCCTGACCTCCAAAAGCTTAGAAGCATGTAACAATTATATAATAATAATCCTTGCATTGATACAGCGCCTTAGCACGTCTTCGTGTTGTCTCAAAGCGCTTCACAGGACATAATATAAGTGAATTGACTGTGCATTTTGTGGGCGAAACGCGGCAGTCAATTGGACAAAGCAGCGTCCCACAAACAGTCGTATGCCACAAACATATTGTGGCATTTCAGTTTCCCACACCGGCCACCCATATGGTTTCTCTCCGTGAGATTACACATTTAATGCGGGGTGGGGGGGGGGTGCAATCTTGTGTTGAGATCCTGTATCCAATGCAGGCAGGTCCTTTGCACTACCCAGACTCATTTGTGTTAAATCCCTAACATCGGTTTGGGTTGAATTTGGATTCAGTCCGTTCCTAAATTGTACCAGCTCGAGGGGCTCCGGCACAGGATTCCTAATGACCTGTTTGATGTAGGTTACGTCCACAACTGATGTCCACAAAGGAACCCCAGTGCCAGGGTCAAGACGATGAATTGCGCATCACAGAGCGATGTGACCGAGTGCTCATTTAATGCACCAAGATGAACAAGTGGAGAACCATGCTGTCCTCTAGTCGATGACTTGAAACGGGCTCTGCAATTCACTGTGAGGCCACATCCCCAATATCGAAAGCATTCCGAACTCTGGACTCATTGAACTGATCTTGAAAGCTTTGCATCCTCCAGTTTCCTCCATAGTCGCCTGCCAAG